GAAACACACACACAGAGAAACTCACACACAGAGAAACTCACACACAGAGAAACACACACACAGAGAAACTCACACACAGAGAAACACACACACAGAGAAACTCACACACAGAGAAAACACACACACACAGAGAAACTCACACACAGAGAAACACACACACAGAGAAACTCACACACAGAGAAACACACACACACAGAGAAACTCACACAGAGAAACACACACACACAGAGAAACACACACACACACAGAGAAACTCACACACACAGAGAAACTCACACACAGAGAAACACACACAGAGAAACTCACACACAGAGAAACACACACACAGAGAAACACACACACACAGAGAAACTCACACACAGAGAAACACACACACAGAGAAACACACACACAGAGAAACACACACACAGAGAAACACACACACACAGAGAAACTCACACACAGAGAAACACACACACAGAGAAACTCACACACAGAAACACACACACAGAGAAACTCACACACAGAGAAACACACACACAGAGAAACACACAAACACAGAGAAACTCACACACAGAGAAACTCACACACACAGAGAAACTCACACACACACACACACACACACAGACACACACACACACACACACACACACAGAGACACACACACACACAGAGACACACACACACACAGAGAAACACACACACAGAGAGAAACACACACACACACAGAGAAACACACACAAAGAGAAACACACACACACAGAGAGAAACACACACACAGAGAGAAACACACACAAAGAGAAACTCACACACAGAGAGAAACACACACACAGAGAAACTCACACACAGACACACACACACAGAGACACACACACACACACACACACACACACACACACAGACACACACACACAGAGACACACACACACACAGAGACACACACAAACACAGAGAAACACACACACAGAGAGAAACACACACACAGAGAGAAACACACACACAGAGAAACACACACAAAGAGAAACACACACACACAGAGAAACTCACACACAGAGAAACACACACACAGAGAAACACACACACAGAGAAACTCACTCACAGAGAGTAACATACACAGAGAAACTCACACACAGAGAAATACACACACAGAGAAACTCACACACAGAGAAACACACACACACAGAGAAACTCACACACAGAGAAACACACACACAGAGAAACACACACACAGAGAGAAAAACACACAGAGAGAAACACACACACAGAGAAACACACACACACAGAGAAACTCACACACAGAGAAACACACACACAGAGAGAAAAACACACACAGAGAGAAACACACACACAGAGAAACTCACACACACAGAGAAACACACACACAGAGAAACACACACACAGAGAAACACACACACAGAGAAACACACACACAGAGAAACTCATACACACAGAGAAACACACACACAGAGAAACACACACACAGAGAAACACACACACAGAGAAACACACACACAGAGAAACTCACACACACAGAGAAACACACACACAGAGAAACACACACACAGAGAAACTCACACACAGAGAAATACACACACAGAGAAACTCACACACAGAGAAACACACACACACAGAGAAACACACACAGAGAAACACACACAAAGAGAAACACACACACACAGAGAAACTCACACACAGAGAAACACACACACAGAGAAACACACACACAGAGAGAAAAACACACAGAGAGAAACACACACACAGAGAAACACACACACACAGAGAAACTCACACACAGAGAAACACACACACAGAGAGAAAAACACACAGAGAGAAACACACACACAGAGAAACTCACACACACAGAGAAACACACACACAGAGAAACACACACACAGAGAAACACACACACAGAGAAACACACACACAGAGAAACTCACACACACAGAGAAACACACACACAGAGAAACACACACACAGAGAAACACACACACAGAGAAACACACACACAGAGAAACTCATACACACAGAGAAACACACACACAGAGAAACACACACACAGAGAAACACACACACAGAGAAACACACACACAGAGAAACTCACACACACAGAGAAACACACACACAGAGAAACACACACACAGAGAAACACACACACAGAGAAACTCATACACACAGAGAAACACACACACAGAGAAACACACACACGCGTAAACAACAAACACTAATAATACAATTAATAATAATAATAATAATAATAAAAAGTCTGGTATAAGAAACAAAACGTTATGACGAAGATAAAGCCGCGGGTTCAGGATCAGGAGACTCAGGCTCAGCACGAGACTTCCGCCGGTTCAGGATCAGGAGACTCAGGCTCAGCACGAGACTTCCGCGGGTTCAGGATCAGGAGACTCAGGCTCAGCACGAGACTTCCGCGGGTTCAGGATCAGGAGACTCAGGCTCAGCACGAGACTTCCGCGGGTTCAGGATCAGGAGACTCAGGCTCAGCACGAGACTTCCGCGGGTTCAGGATCAGGAGACTCAGGCTCAGCACGAGACTTCCGCGGGTTCAGAGATTATATCGGACTTTAACTTTACATTTCACGATCTTTAATATCGTGCGCGACCCGGCAACGGATGAAGCGGAAGATAACGGACGGACGGATCTTTAATATTTTATTTTTTTATGTTGTTTAAAAAACAGCTGAAATGTATTTAACTAAAACACTAACAAATAAGATAAAAACAACTGACTTAATTTATGTGCGCGCTTGCGCGTGTTTATGTGCACGCGTGTGTGTCTGTGTGCGCGTGTGTGTGTCTATATGTGCGCGTGTGTGTGCCTATATATGCGCGTGTGTCTATGTGTGCGCGCATGTGTGTCTATATGTGCGCGCGTGTGTGTCTATGTGTGCGCGCGTGTGTGTCTATGTGTGCGCGCGTGTGTGTCTATGTGTGCGCGCGTGTGTCTTATTGATTTTCTTGCGCATAACCTGGACCTGGAGGAGTCTCACCAAAATGATAAAAATGTTCCTTTTTTGGACAAACACATTTTTCTTCTGACGTCACTTTGTTATCGCGAGATTTTGTTACGTTTAAAAAAAACGTATTTTAGTTTTCAATCCAAGGCCCAGAGACAAACACAACACACTGCTACACACACTGTTACACACACTGACAACACACTGCCACACACACTGACAACACACACTGTTACACACACTGTTACACACACTGTTACACACACTGACAACACACTGCTACACACACTGTTACACACACTGACAACACACACTGTTACACACACACATCCTTTACACAAATCCTGTTTTTTCCATTGAATAAAGACAAAAAATATTCAAATTCACACATTGTTTTGTTTCGTTAAAATTAACCAAAAGAAGAAGTTTGGCCTCAGCGCAAACTATTATTTACTATTATTATTATTATTATTATTATTATTATTATTATTATTATTATTACTAAACTGTATTTTAAAGCAGTGGATCCGTGACGCTCTGTGACGTCATCAGGCCTAAACACTGATCCTGAAACGAAGACTTTTAGAACTATTATATTTATTATATTATTATATTTTTATATTTATTTTTAAACAAATGTTTTTATTTTTAACGAACGGAAAAAAAGATTTAAACTCAAAACAAACGAATTTACATAAATCATCAGAATCAGAATCATTTTTATTGCCACGTAAGTAACAGGAAGTCACAGAGTTGGAAATTGCTTTGGCTCAACAGTCGGAGAGAGCGGTAACAAGAGGCATAATACAAAACAAATAATACAAATCTAGATTAGACTGACGTTATTGTGGCTGGACGCTGTGTTCGCGCCACAGGGACTAACGAGTAAAAACGCGCGTGTTTCTGCTGCGCTCGCTCCCGCTGCTGCTGATCCTGCAATAATCATTTACAACAAGTTTTATTAAGAATTTATTATTATTATTATTATTATTATTATTATTACTGTTCAAACCTTTGGAGTCTCGTGTTTATGATTAAACTTCTGATGTCTCAGTTTTCCGCGTCACAAAAACAAATATTTCTACTTTTGAGAAACCTTCAGTTTCATCATATAATGAATTAGAATAGTGATAATAATAATAATAATAATAATAATAATAATAATAATAATAATAATAATAATAATAATAATAATTATTATTATTATTATTATTATTATTATTATAACATATGTTAGTTTTGATAAAACAGAGAGAAACAGAACAGACTGAGATCAGAGCGAATGGAACAAAAACATGAGGTTTAAATCTACAGTAAAAATATGATTATAAAAACATAATAAAAATATTATATAAACATAATAAAAACATGAAATCCTGTCTGTGCCGTTTCTCAAACTGAGTTTTAATAAAAGCTTTTTCTCATCTTTAGAATCAGAATCAGAATCATGTTTATTGCCACGTCAGTAACAGGAAGTCACAGACTTGGAAATTGCTTTGGCTCAGTGCAGCAGTCAGAGAGAGATAATAAAAATATAGAATAAAAAACACTTCTAAGGAATAAATGTAAAAAATAGAGTTTAAAATAGAGTTACAGTTACTATTTACAATATACAAGTGCACATGGTGCACACATGGTGCACACCATGTGAGGTGACAGCAGTACACTTGTATCTTATTCAGAATCTGTTTTTGGTTTATTCACTTCAACAAAAACATTATGAGTCGTTACGTTTCTGAAATGACAAAACCCGTCAAAGTGACTTCACCCGTGTTCATGAAAAACATTTGGTGTTTTTCCTTCTGGATCTGAACTGAACTGAACTGAACTGAGTCAAAAAATACACAACATTTTTGACGTTATATTTGAGAGTTTTGCACGCGCCACTTTCACTTTAAATAAACATAAACATCTCTGTTTTTATCATTTCATTTTTCACTTATTTTACATGTTTAGCGCGGCCTGTTTCGGCCTGTTTCGGCCTGTTTCATTTCTGTCATTTCTAAATCCACTGTTTCTCTCGTGCACATTTGCTGCTGTTCCTGTGTTTAGCCAAAGTCATATTTATTGATATAGCACAGTCTCTCACAGACGGAGCAGATGCAGAAACATGCGCTAACCACTGCGCCACTGCGCTAACCACTGCGCCACTGCCGCAGACGCGTCACGTTCATCTGACGGAGTTTGTGTTTTAAAGTATTTTAGTCTGATCCTCAGCGACTCAGAAACTTTACAATCTGTGAAATACTGGATTTTCACCGTTTTTATCAAATGTGAGTCATTTATATTTTTATCTTTTGTGAATTTAAACAAATATAAAATCTAACACCGGCATTATGAGTCATTACAGAAGAGAGAAGCCAAAGCCGTCAAAGTGACTGCTCTGTTTATGAAACAAATTTTGGTGTTTTCTGAGTTTGTTTAAAAAAAACAATCTCATTTTTTACTTTGTTAAAAACATATTATTATTATTTATTTATTTTATTATTATTATAATTATATTAAATAATTATTATTTATAATAAAGTACAAAATGTGACTGTTCAGAGTCTCAGGAGAGGGGCGCGCGCCACGGACAGCCACAATAATAATAATAATGTGTACACAAACATTTATATAAACATTATAATAACATTAAAGTTAATATTATAAGTCTTTACTTCTCTGATTTTCTGATCTGCTGTTGGAGAATCGACACTTTCCTAAAATCCTCCGCGATGACGACAATTTGTGATTTAGAGCAAAAACTAAAAACATTAAATAGAATAATTTCCCAGTTTGTCAGGAGTCTGCGGAGACCGCGCGTGGCCTCGGAGCTGCGTCAAACTGACAGTTTAGACTCTCTCTCAGTTTAGACTCTCTCTCAGTTTAGACTCTCTCTCAGTTTAGACTCTCTCTCAGTTTAGACTCCACACATTCTACTGCTACACACACACACACACATTCTCCTGCTACACACACACACACATTCTCCTGCTACACACACACACACATTCTACTGCTACACACACACACACACATTCTCCTGCTACACACACACACATTCTCCTGCTACACACACACACGTCTCCTGCTACACACACACACACACACACGTCTCCTGCTACACACACACACACACCAGAGCAAAGATGAGAGAGACCAGGGAGAGAGAGACCAGGGAGAGAGAGACCAAGGAGAGAGAGACCCAGAGAGAGAGAGACCAGAGAGAGAGAGACCAAGGAGAGAGAGACCAGAGAGAGAGAGACCAGAGAGAGAGCCCAGGGAGAGAGCCCAGAGAGAGAGACCAGAGAGAGAGAGACCAGAGAGAGAGAGACGAGACAGAGAGAGCCCAGAGAGAGAGCCCAGGGAGAGAGCCCAGGGAGAGAGCCCAGGGAGAGAGCCCAGGGAGAGAGCCCAGGGAGAGAGCCCAGAGAGAGAGCCCAGGGAGAGAGCCCAGGGAGAGAGCCCAGGGAGAGAGCCCAGATACAGACACAGTCTGGTTTCTCACAGACTCATGCAAAACATATTTAAACAGAATCATCCACAAACAAATGAGAGACGTCTGAGTCTGTTCAAATCTTTAACTCTATCTTCTGGTCTCTCTCTCTGGTCTCTCTCTCTGGTCTCTCTCTGGTCTCTCTCTGGTCTCTCTCTCTCTTTGGTCTCTCTCTCTCTCTGGTCTCTCGCTCTCTTTGGTCTCTCTCTCTCTCTGGTCTCTCTCTCTCTTTCGTCTCTCTCTCTCTCTGGTCTCTCCCTCTGGTCTCTCTCTCCGTCTGGTCTCTCTCTCTCTCTCTGGTCTCTCTCTCTCTCTCTCTCTGGTCTTTCTCTCGGGTCTCTCTCTGGTGTCTGGTCTCTCTCTCTGGTCTCTCTCTGGTCTCTCCCTGGTCTCTCCCTGGTCTCTCTCTGGTCTCTCTCTCTGGTCTCTCTCTGGTCTCTCTCTGGTCTCTCTCTCGGGTCTCTCTCTCTGGTCTCTCTCTCTGGTCTCTCTCTCTGGTCTCTCACTCTCTTGGTCTCACTCTCTGGTCTCACTCTCTGGTCTCTCTCTCTGGTCTCTCTCTCTCTGGTCTCTCTCTCTCTGGTCTCACTCTCTGGTCTCTCTCTCTGGTCTCTCTCTCCTCTCTCTCTCTCTCTCTCTGGTCTCTCTCTCTCTGGTCTCTCTCTCTGGTCTCTCTCTCTGGTCTCTCTCTCTGGTCTCTCGCTCTGGTTCTCTCTCTGGTCTCTCTCTCTGGTCTCTCTCTCTGGTCTCTCTCTGGTCTCTCTCTCTGGTCTCTCTCTCTGGTCTCTCTCTCTGGTATCTCTCTGGTCTCTCTCTCTGGTCTCTCTCTCTGGTCTCTCTCTCTCTGGTCTCTCTCTCTCTCTGGTCTCTCTCTCTCTCTGGTCTCACTCTCTCCTGGTCTCTCTCTCTGGTCTCTCTCTCTCTGGTCTCTCTCTCTGGTCTCTCTCTCTCTGGTCTCTCTCTCTGGTCTCTCTCTGGTCTCTCTCTCTGGTCTCTCTCTCTGGTCTCTCTCTCTGGTCTCTCTCTCTCTGGTCTCTCTCTGGTCTCTCTCTCTGGTCTCTCTCT